AGCAGCTCCCGAACCAGCAGCAGCAGCAGCAGCAGCCGCAGCACCGGCAGCAGCAGCAAGACGTTCTTTTGCTCGCTCCGAAGGAATTAGAGACGTACGTATCGAATGATGCGCTGTTTCAACTCTTGCTGAAGAGGTTGCTGCTGCTGTTGCTGTTGTTGCTGCTGCTGCTGACCGGGGTCTTCGTGTCAGTGCTGTTGCTGCTGCTGTCGGTGCTGCTGCTGCTGCTGCATGCCTTGAGGCTGCTGCTGCTTGTGCTTGTGAGCCATGCAAGACATCGGAAGCGGCAGTAGCAGCAGATGGAGCTGCAGCTCCTGCTGCAGCAGGGGCAGGACCTCTTACTGTTGCTGCTGCTGCTGTTGCTATTGCTGCTGCTGCTGCTGCTGGCCTGGGGTGCCCCCCTTCAGCTGCTGCAGCACTCCCTCTGCCGGACACCCGGCGGTGTCTGTGACTCTCAGACATCAGCAAAAGTGAGGGTTTATTGCTGCTGTTGCTGTTGCTTCTGCTGCTGTTGTTGCTGCTGCTGTTGCTGCTGCTGCTGCTGCAGCTGCAGCTGCTGGATTTGCTGCTGAGGCTGCAGATCCTCCCGTCGGCAGCAGCAACAGCAGAAGCACCTGCATCGTTATTGTCAATGAGTGTTTTATTCTTCCTTAAGGCCTGGGAAGAGATGAAGTATGCAATGACAGCAGCAGGCTCTTTTTATGCTGCTGCTGCTGCTGCTGCTGCAGCTGCAGCTGCTGCCGCTGCAGCTGCTGCAGCTGCCACTGCTGCTGTTGCTGCTGTTGCTGCTGCTGCTGCTGCCAGCTTATATTCCAGTTGCTGATTGTACTTTAGGATAATGAAGACAACACCTTCTGCTGGCAGCGAACCCGCCTTAACTGCTGCGGCTGCTGCTGCTGCTGCGGCTGCTGCCGCTGCTGCTGTTGCTGCTGTTGCTGCTGCTTAGCGCTTGTGTGGCTGTTCATGCTGCGTGGCTTGCTGTTGCTTGTGTGGCTGGTGATGCTTACGCCTCGTCCGCTAGGGCTTGGGGTTTATTAGGGTTTAGGGTTTAGGGTTTAGGGTTTAGCGAGTTGTTTGGTTTGAGGAAGGCGATGAGAAGAAGAAGGCCTGGAGTTTCGCAGGAGAGAGAGAAGAGCAGCAGAGAGGACGAAGGGTGTGTTGAGGAGTTGGGGTGTATGTACACCTGCTCACTGCTGCAAGGTGCAGCAACAACAGCTAGCAGCAGCAGCAGCAGCAGCAGATTTGCTGCTGTCGAGACACAGCAACGCAGCAAGGAACAGAATGAAGGTAAACATAAATTTGTATTTCTTCTCTTTTCTCCTTTCTTGCCCCACACGCAGCAGTGCTCGCTGCCGACAGCCCGCCAGCAGCAGCAGCAGCAGCTGCTGCTGCTGCTGCTGCTGCTGTTGTTGCTGCTGCTGCTGCTGCTGACCAGGGCTATACTTGCTGCTCCCTCCGCCATTACATTTTTGAAATCCTAATGACTTTATTTTCTTTTGTATTTAAATGCTGTTTGAAAAATATTTCATGCAGTAGCCAAGTCTTAAACCCTAAACCCTAAACCCTAAACCCTAGGCTGTCCCACGAGCGGTTCCCAGCAACACCACTCCAAGGACAGCCTTGAAACAGGAATGCTTTTCTTTTTCTCTTTTTTATTTTTCTTTGTTTTTTATCCTGGAGTTGTTTAATGCTGCTCAATTTGCTGCTGCTGCTGCGGCCTGCGGTCTGTGCTGCTGCTGCTGCTGCTGCTGCTGCTGCTGCTGCGGTGACCCTACATGGGGAGACCGCTGACGGGCGTTTGTCTTCTTTTGTCTTTGTCTTTTTTGTTTGTTTTTGTGTTGCTGTCAGCATTCGTATCTTGTAAGAATAATACTACCTTCAGCAGCAGAACCCTAAACCCTAAACCCTAAACCCTAAACCCTAATCTCTGCACACCACCGCCTACGTGTCTCCTGTCTTTCTGCTCGTTTCCTGTGCAGCACTGCGTTGCTCCGCTCTAAAACCCACTAAGAAAAACCCAAGTCTAAACCCTAAACCCTAAACCCCAAACCCTAAACCCTAAACCCTAAACCCTAAAGCGCAGGGTGACTCTGATTTGGAATCCACTCCGAAAACCCCCGGGTTATCAAAACCCAAAGGCAGCCCCAGCCCTACCTATACACCAGATTCAAACCCTAAACCCTAAACCCTAAACCCTAAACCCTGAGGTAGAAAAGGACAGTAAATATTACACCATCAAAGCTCAGCACGAAGCATTTGTTGCTTCCTGGGGATTTGTACAAAAGGGGTACTCCAAACCCTAAACCCTAAACCCTAAACCCTAAACCCTCGGAAGCAAAGTCCAAACGGGTTCCTGAGCAACCCCTTTAGTAAAAACTCATCGCGACGATTTTGCTGCAGAGAAGCAGACGCACAAAATACAGTCAGGGTTTAGGTTTTAGGGTTTAGGGTTTAGGGTTCTGCATGCGGGCATTCAAGCAGCGCATAAAAGCTGCTGAGTTATCAACGCACCACAGCCGCAGCAGCAATAACGCAGGAGCAGCAGCAACAGCAGTAGCAGCAGCAGCAACAATAGCACCAACGGTAGTAACAGCAGCAGCAGCAACAACATTATCATCATCATCATCATCATCATCATCAGCAGCAGCAGCAGCAGCAACAATAGTACCAACGGTAGTAAAAGCAGCAGCAACAGCAGCAGCAACAGCAGCAGCAGCAGCAACAGCAGCAGCAACAGCAGCAGCAACAGCAGCAGCAACAGCAACAGCAGCAGCAACAGCAGCAGCAGCAGCATACAGAAGTAGGCGTCGAAGTGTTCTACTCCGATGGGTTTTCTGTAGAGTTGACGATTTCTGTATCTCTCTCTGTCTCTCTGCTCTATTGCAAGCCCTTTGTTCTCTTTCGCAACTTCTTCTGCTCTCTGTCTCCTTTGTCTCTCCCTCTCTAAAAACAAAAGCCCTCACAACATCTGCTGCTGCTGCTGCTGCTGTTGCTGCTGCTGTTGCACCTGCTACTGCTGTTTGCGCTCGGAGAGCTGGGCCCTCACAGCTTCAAAAATGAAGGGTTTAGGGTTTAGGGTTTAGGGATTAGGGATTAGGGTTTACGGTTTAGGGTTTAGGGTTTAGGGTTTAGGGTTTAGGGTTGGCCTTCCTTCTTCAAGGCAGACGCTCAGACGGCGCTGGGACTCCGAAAAGCTGCAGAGAAAAAGAATGAGCGTAGAGCGACAGCAATTGAGGTTTGCTTCAGGGTTTAGTGTTTAGGGTTTAGGGTTTAGAGGTTAGGGTTTACCGTTTAGGGTTTAGCGCTTAGGCGTTTTTTGGATTGCGGCTTGAGGGTTTAGGGTTTAGGGTTTAGGGTTTAGTGTTTAGGGTCTATTGTAAAGGACCTGGCGCTTAGGGCTTAGAATTTAGGGTTTAGGGTTTAGGGTTTAGGGTTTTTTGTACTTTTCGCATTGCTGTAGTTTTTCTTTTTCTTTTTGTCTGTCTTTTTGTTTTTCTTGTTTTATTTCTTCATTCTTTTCATTTGCTTCTTCTCTCACCTCCAAGGGATATCCTTTAAATCCGTCGCGGTTGCGTCCCATGCCTAATCCACAAACCCTAAACCCTAAACCCTAAACCCTTGGGAGCAGCCTCTCGCCTTGGGCCAACCCCAAATAGCTGAAGCCACCAACAAGAAACCCTAAACCCTAAACCCTAAACCCTCATCTGGACTACAATATATTCCTCTTATCCTTTTCTAACCCTTCAAAAGGTTACATTAAGAAGAAGCACGCGCTTACCATTGAGGCTTGGGGTTTAGGGTTTAGAATTTAGGGTTTAAGGTTTAGGGCTAGGGTTTAGGGTTAAGGGCTAGGGTTTAGGGTTTAGGGTTTAGGGTTTGGGGGCCACTCACTCCCCGTAGGAAGTCGAGGCAGCCACGGGCTAAGGGAGCTGTCTCCTTCAACAAAGTCTCGGCGGCCTTCCGCCAGAAACGGATCCTACACAAACCCTAAACCCTAAACCCTAAGCCCTAAACCCTAAACCCTAAACCATGTATCTTAAACCCTGAATTGTGAGCTCAGCACCCGAAACCACAAACAGTCAAAACGTAGCCGTAGGTGAGGCAATCGCTAACGCTAGAAACGCGGCCTTTGGAGACTGGAAATTAGGGTTTAGGGTTTAGTGTTTAGGGTTTAGGGTTTGGGGTGTACGTGCAGCTTCATCTCGATTTCTCTCCGTTCTAATTCGCGTTCGCGAGCCTTCATTTCCTCTTCTCTCTTTTTTCTTTCGTCTGCCTAAACAGCAGCAAACCCTCCTATCAGGTGAATATGCAGCCGCCACGAACTAGGGTTTAGGGTTTAGGGTTTAGGGTTTAGGGCTGGGTGTTACGCACCAACTTGAGGTTGCTTTGAGCCGTGTCTTGGCGGCGCTGAGCCTCTGCCTTCAACTGCAGCGAAGGCAATAACAGAGAACTTCACAAACCCTAAACCCTAAACCCTAAACCCTAGACTCTGGAGACGAAGATACGCAGTCTTACTTTCTGCTGGCACATCGCCTCTTGCACTCTGCTGCTTTCTTCAGCAAACTCCGCGTAGCTCCTGAGAAGCAACAGAAACTCTAAACCCTAAACCCTAAACCCTAGACGATCAATCCCTATCCCTACGCTCTAATTCATAGGCACCGCGAACTCAGGCAGGACCGCTATTCGCTATATTGAATTCGAGCTAAGGGTTTAGGGTTTAGGGTATAGCGTCAAGGGTTTAGGGTTTAGGGTATAGCGTCAAGGGTTTAGGAATTAGGGTATAGCGTCAAGGGTTTAGGGTTTAGGGTATAGCGTCAAGGGTTTAGGGTTTAGGGTATAGCGTCAGGGGTTTAGGGTTTAGGGTTTAGCGTCAATGGTTTAGGGTTTAGGGTTTAGGGTACTTTTCTCTGTTTTGTTCTTGCATTTGCAAGAGCGCCTGCTGAAACAGATGCTCCTGAATAGCTTCTCGCTGCTGCTGCTGCTGCTGCTGCACGCGCTGC